CTGCCTTGCCCACCGGGCGCGGAGGGGGGCGGCCTGTCCGCGAGCGGCGGCCCCGCGGCCTTCCCGGCATCTCGGCGGGGGGAGGCCCGCTCGCTTCCCCAGGCACACAGGTTTGTGGAGCGGCTGCCCCTCCTTCGGGGCTGCGGGGAGGGGGGGGGCAGGCGGCTACGGGCTGCGCTCCGGGGCCTGCCTTTAGCTCCTCATAGGCGCAGATGAGGAATGCGGGCCCTTGGCTGCCCGGCTGGGTGTCCTGCAGCGCGGTGCTTGACACATCCGTGCCCCGCGCCCGGGAACGGGGAGCTCTTGCTGCTGTTCGGGCAGGGCAGCGTCGCCAATGAAGGAAAAAGGCTAAGGACAAAAATATACGACTTTCTCCACCTTATGAAGGCAGGGAGGTTCATAATAGATAAGGTCCAGGTTAGCTGTTAGCTGATCCCCTTTTAGAAAGGAGGAAGTAGGGTCATTCCTGTTTGCCAAAGGTGGAAAAAAAAGTAGGGCTGTTCCTTGCTAAACTCCTGTCACCTCTAGGGTCATGTCTGTTGAAGATGTGTCTGTTGCTGATTTTATTTATTTATTTTTTTTAAATCAGATGTATCATGGCAGATGGTATACTGGCAGGTACACATGATCATAAAGTGTCTTTAATGTATGTCACAGAAACATTAGTCCCTAATGTTCTTATTTATGGAAAGTTCAGAGAATATGTGGCTAAATAGACTTTTGAGGGCCCGCCTGAGATTTGCGGTTGTCTATGATTGTACCTTCTTGGGATTTATGTCATACAATTTAAGGTACTCCGGCGAAGTGGAGGCTGAGAGAAAAGAGATGCAATAAGAGTGATTTAGTGATGTCACTGTACATTTGGTTGGTTTATTGGAGTGGCAGGATTTTAAATGAAATCCCATTTCTGAGTTATGACAGAAGCCTGAACTGCAACAAATGCCATGGCCCTGTTGGGAGTGATCTTGCAAGACAGACTATAAATATACAGTAAATTATTTTATTTATTTTTGTTTTGTTAGGCTCCCATATTTGGCCCTCATGTTTTGTGTAATGTAGTGGAAGGCAAGTTGCTGCTATCTCTAATGTAGGGTACTGACTTCTGTAACATGATACTGATGCAAAAGGAGAGTTGCAGAAAGTTGAAAGTGAACTTTTTCTTTGGGCTGAACTTCTTGGCTAGTTCAGCGTGTTGTGATAATGAGAAGAGAATCTGGTGCTTCGTGTTCAAGGATCCGCTTAGTGGTGATAGGAGGCTCTCAAGAAAACCCATTTCCTTTAAAACTGCTAATTTTTTTTAAATATGTTTCCCTTGCACAAGCAGCTATCCAAACGGTATTTTTTTTTGCCTTTTTTTTTTTTTTTTTTTTGCCTTAGGGTATCATCCATGCAGTAGTGTTTCTTGTAAGATATTTTTGAAAGACAGCACTGTGGAAAAAAGCTTACTTTCTCCACCAGTACAGTGAATAAACTAATATGTTTTTCAGTTTCTTTTAAGTGTCTGCCAGGTACATTTCAATACGCAGTGACAAACTACATATCTGTTTTTTCACGTAAAAAAACCCAAACAAAACCCAACAAAACCCAAAACTGTGCTGTCAGCTTCCAGAGTTTGACGGTTTGTTTTACTTCTCGGTCCTGAGGAAAATTAAGTGTCTTCCTGTCCCTGCGTACCTAGGTCTTGCTAGTGCTTGAAAAGATTGGCTGGTAAATCTGCATAGCCATGCCCTTCTAGTGAAGTTGCATTGGCAGGAGTACTTAAGGGGTTACAGTTTTATACCAACTTTCTGAAGAAAGTAAATCCTGATAGCAAAAAGAGTTATATGCATCTGAAGTTGGAATTCTGCTGCTCTAGATGTCAGCTAGGATTATTACCAGCAACATGTCTTAAGACAGAGTCATATCTGTGACTTTCATGTCACTTTTATATGTCTATTAAGTGACATTTTGGAATAACAGAACTGTATTTGCTGTTTATCTGCAGGACATTTAAGGCTATGAAAAGTTCTGAAACTTGTAATTTAATGTAGTAGTTTCCATGAAATTTGTAAATAAAGTAACATAGAGGAATAATGTTGCTTTATGTTTCCTGGTCCCCATTGGTCCAATGATTGAGAATCCTTTCACAGTTGTTCTTCAGTGAGCCTGAACCATGTAGGTAGCAGAACAACTCAGTGTCAGTGGGTCAGAAAATAAGGTCTAGATTTTGCCAAGTATAAAAGATGGTGGTTTTTTTGTTTGTTTGTTTGTTTTTATTGATTGATTTTATGTAATGCTTAGCCAGGACTGTTTGCTGCAAGATGCACACTTTCTCCAGTAATCCACAAAGATAGGAAACATTGCGGAAAATACTGAAAGAACCATTAAAATTGAAGTAAGCTGTGGGTTTCTGGGCTAAAACTTGCCTACTGGTGAACAGTGATAGAAGTAGCTCCTGAGATGCATGTTGATAGTGGTGGCATGCAAAGAGATTACAGGAGAAGACTGGTATGTACTACTGCATTAAAGTTGGAGGCGTGGTTCTTTTAAAATACTTGGTTTTATATTAGAAATTCAGATCCTGTAGGTTTCAAGAATCTCTAGTGACTGGAAAACTACTAAACTCTTGATGTTTCAAGATCTAAGAGACTGAAAAATGAACAGCTGAGAGAAGAGACTTCAGTGACACTGTTCAGAACTTCTGAGACGTCTGCTTAAGGTCAATGGCTAACGTTAGCTTACCTTTTGTTGAAGATGATGGAATCCATCCTTAAATCTTCTGCATACTTGCCCTTCTTTTTAGAACATCCAGTCTGTCATTTCTGCTCAAGTAAAGTTCAAATGGAGCACTGAGATGATCTTTATATTTTACAAAATCATTTCAGTTACCCAGATAATCTCGACTGGGAAACCTCTCATCTGTATTCATGTTTTGTGTGAATTTCTCATAAAACTTACTGTCTGGAAATATTTTGCTCCCCTTTCTTCCTATTTTTAGATCTTAAACTTCAGTCAGTTGCAGCTATCTTGCTTTTTATTGAAATAATCTTAGTGTACAAAGATTGGAAGGGGTGCAGTATGCAAGTTATTTTAGGTTACTTCATCTAGAGTTTATGTTATGCTTAACTTCTCATTCTTATGATCTAGAAAAATTCTTTCTTCTTTTCTTGATTAGCAGACCATGTAATGTTGGGTTTTTTCTAAGACTAGTGGACAGGTCTTATGAGGAGCGGCTGAGGGAACTGGGGCTGTTTAGTCTAGAAAAGAGGAGGCTGAGGGGAGACCTTATAGCTCTCTACAACTACCTGAAGGGGGGTTGTAGTGAGGTGGGTGCTGGGCTCTTCTGTCAGGTGGCTGGAGATAGGACGAGAGGAAATGGCCTCAAGTTGAGGCAAGGGAGATTTAGGTTAGATATTAGGAAAAATTTCTTTACTGAGAGGGTTGTCAGACATTGGAATGGGCTGCCCAGGGAAGTGGTTGAGTCACCATCCCTGGAGATATTAAAAAAGTGAGTGGACAGGGTACTTCAGGACCTGGTTTAGTGGGCACGGTTAATGGTTGGACTCGATGATCTTGAAGGTCTTTTCCAACCTAAATGATTCTATGATTCTATGATTTCAGTAACCTGGTTCACTTTATGGTATATATAAAATCTTCAGCTCTAAGTTACTAAATACATGAAGATACTACTATATGTATATATTCCAGTTAAGCCATTTTGCTTTTTAGAGATGAGGCATGATTCTTTAATGAACTACATGTTGGCAGCTCCCCATTGGCTTTTACAGGACTCCACGAAGGTTTCACTTGTGTATAGCTCATCAAAGGGCTGGGGCTTTTACTGTTAAATGGTTATATGCATAGGTGAAACTTGTAAGCTAAAATACTCCTTGGCTGCTAGAAGCATGTACTGTGAAAGAGTATGTCAGAGAGGGTAATAGTTTTACAATTCTACTTGTACTGCGGTGACTACTGCTTATTTTTCTTATGGTCCAGACTGATACCATACAATTGCATTCAGTGCCTTAGAACCAGAAAAGAAGGAAGTATGTTAATAGACGTAAAACAAATGAATTCCATTCTTGAAATGGTGGCAGCCAGCAGGAAGTTGATTAAAAACACAGTATGATTAGTTTCATCTCATCTTATTTCTGGCAACTATAAGGTACTGTAGTCAGCTAAATCTGATGGCAATATTGTTTGAGAACATGCCAGCAGGGGTTTTGCAGAATGTTACTATTTGTTCTGCCTTTCTCTGACACTGCATGCATCATATGTGTGATGAGACATTGTGCCCCAAGCATTCTGTGCAGGCCCAATCCAGAGTCTGGATTTTCCGGTCACTTATGTATCATCAGGTCCTTGCCATGCCAATCTGGCTCTTTTCTCAATTTTGTTTACTAATATTAAACATTTGATCAAATGGTGAATCATTTAATATAAGCATGATTAGTTTGTGACTGTGTATCACCAAAGCTTGCTTTTAACTTCTAAACAAATAATGACTATATATATATATGCCATTAAGAAGCCTCTTCTCTGGTTAGTCTTTTCCTTCCTTTTTTTGGTGATTACAGCTGTTCATTCC